CCCTGTTGATCAATGCAATTACGTCTCCAAAGTTGCAATGTGTCTGTCCAGAACTTTTGCTGTGCGACATTCAGTAGCACATTTGGCACAGGAGAAGTTGCAGCGTTGCAGCAGCAGCACCCTGCAGGCCCGGAACATTGAAAAGTGCCATAATGGTTGTTATTTCCAGTCATTTAGCTGTGGGCACACACACCCACCCACACTCCTAACACACCGCTCCTGTCAGCACTGTCATCAGGCAGCAGCTTCATTATCCTCCTTAACTATGTCCTCTGTTTCCTTGACACCAGGCAAAAATGTCACTCGTGCGTCTGCTTTTTAAGAACTCTTAATGATTTCTATATTCAGCGTGTTTACACTTTCACTTCACTTTTAGTCTAATTAGGTGAGCATAATGATATTAAATTACAGGCTTTCAAACAAGTTTACACTCTTTATTTTCCTTCTCTTGCCACCAGAACGGAGCGTGGAAATCTTTTTGTGGCGTGTGTTGAACACAATGCTGGCTGAAGGATTTTGGTGAACAATGACAGCCTCTCAGGTACTGCAGACCTGCTGGCTGAACTTGTGTTATGCAAATCTCCTCTTCTATCTTATTTCAAAAGTGCTCTAATACACTTAGTTCTGGTGCCAGATTGGAGGAACCGGTTTGGAACCATTTCAGCAAAATCACTCTAGCAGGCAGTGGCACTTAGTTGATGTTCAGTTGGTATAAGTGCGGCAGTATATCACCAGCCTCAACTGCTGATACAAGGCTGAATAGATCTATGCTAAATATTGACCTTAAATATCTCAATGTCAGACCAGGCAAGGTGTTCTAGTCTTCAAGATGTTCTAATGTTCTAGTTGTTCTAGTCTTTAAGATGTTCTAGGAGTTCTAGTCTTTGAAGTGTTCTTGTCTTCAAGATGTTCTAGTTGTTCTAGTCTTCAAATTGTTCTGATGTTCTAGGAGTTCTCGGAACCATTTCAGCAAAATCACTCTAGCAGGCAGTGGCACTTAGTTGATGTTCAGTTGGTATAAGTGCGGCAGTATATCACCAGCCTCAACTGCTGATACAAGGCTGAATAGATCTATGCTAAATATTGACCTTAAATATCTCAATGTCAGACCAGGCAAGGTGTTCTAGTCTTCAAGATGTTCTAATGTTCTAGTTGTTCTAGTCTTTAAGATGTTCTAGGAGTTCTAGTCTTTGCGGTGTTGTCGTTTTCAAGATGTTCTACTGTTCTAGTCTTCAAATTGTCCTAATGTTCTAAGTGTTCTAGTCTTCAAGGTGCCTTCATCTTCATTTTGTAGCAGAGTGACACTAAGTTTAATTTGAAATTTTACCAAAATGTGTTTCTGCATAATGTGACCGTAGCTAGTGGTTATGTGACTCAATGTTTTGTCATTCTATCAACCTTAAGCATTTTGACCTTTGACCTCATATGCCATTTCACTCATGTGTTTGCCCCTTGAGGAAACCCTGAGTCGCCGGATGATTCCATGATTCCATTAACCATTATTTGGTAACTTTATACACAAGTCATTTATCCACTGCCTAATCCTTTTCAGGGGCTTTAGGACGCGGAGTGAGATCCACTCCCAGCAGTCAGTACAACTTCAAGCAGTGAACCTCCGTCAGCCTAGTTGCGTGCTACAAGCTTAACACTTGAGAGGAGACTGTTTTCCTTTCATTCACTGTGTGGGTTTTGGTGTGGTCAGCACATTTAAACAGGCTGTCATCTCCAGGCAATGATAGGACGTTAGCTCGAACAGCAATTTTATACTTTGATACTTTTGAAGTGGTACATTTATCGATACTTTGCCAGTGGTAGGATCCTAGATTTACTGAAAAATGAATGGAAATGGCATTTCCTTTTATTTAAGTATGTATGTATGCCAACCATAATAGATGAACTTTTGACACACTTTAGTCACTTTAATCTGAATGTTTTTGAATAAGGATGGAGGATCAAAGCAGTGATCTTCTTGCTCTTCCACTGTTTGACTTCTACAGGTGATTGTGTGAGAAAAGAACGGTATTGTTTCTAAAACCCACTTGATCCCCTCTGGGAACAATGCCTAGTTGCCATGGGCTGACTAGATATTGAACTTGAACCATTTGAAGAGGTGTACCTAATGAAGTGTTCGGTACACCTGCAGTATATGAAGCCAATTAACCTAAGGTCATCTTTTTGGACTCTAGAACAAAACACAAGAACCCCAAAAAGGAGAACATGTAAACTCCACACTGGTTAATGTAAGAGTGAATCTATCATCATATCTTAAGGTTATATTTTCTACCTAACTGTTTTCTACATGGAGACAAACAAAAAGGCATGTGGTGATGACAGGAGACCAGTGGGACAGAACTTCATGCGCTAAGGACCATTTAATGACAGTGACCTGCGTCTTTGAACCCAGTCACTGCAGCAGTGTGTGGAGAAAGCCCCCTGACTGACCCCGAGTCACTCTGTTGAGGTCCAGATTTAAACCCTCATAAATCATGAGTGTATGCTGCAGAAGATGACACTTAACGGACTCTTTCCATCCAGTCTGACAAAGCTGGAGAGGATTTGGCTGGAAGAATAGGATCAACTCTTCAAATCTGTGTGCCACAGTTCTGGAGATTTACCCAACATGCCTCAGTTAACGGTGCTGCTTTAAACTAATAACTAATTTGTGTTTGGGAGTTGTTCTCGGATGAACAGTTTCTGTCATATGGCGGTATCAATGATGTCGTTGCAATTTATTTTTTTTTAATGTGGTTGAAGAGTTTGCTGTTTGTGTCGCTGCAAAGAAAACAATCAAATACTGCTATTTCCCTGCAACCGTAATATTATTTATTTGAGTAAATTCTTTAGTAAGCCTGCTGTAATTTATACCTTTTCGCCAACCGTTACTCACTTATTCATTTTGCGCAATTGTATCTATTATTTCAATTATACGATTGTTGTCTTTACGGCTAAGTCTAAATACACTGCTATGTCTCTATGTTATGATGTGGAAATTGAGGAAAGTAAACATGAAAGTAGTAAAATAAAAAGTCAGTGCTGCATAGCAACCAGAAGTCTGCTGCAGTCAGCATCAGTACCATCTTGAATTGTATAACTGCTTTTTCTTTGGCTAATCTTTAACATATCTAGATTATCTTCAGGAGTTTAAAATGATGGCAGGTTGTTGGATATTCTGACAACCTAATTCTATTGTGAGTAATTTCAGATGCTTTTGGTAGCTATTAACTATTAGCTTTTTCATGGCTAACCTTGTTAACACTCGGTTGGATGTTGGGTCAATCTTAGAGTGAAATATTTTTTGAATGGCATTCGGTAATTTATCGTTACCTTTGTTTGCTAATTCAGTTCTACTTTTAGTTTGTCAGCCAATAATGATGTCACTATGGCAACTATTTTGGCTAACATTTGCCAGAATAAATCCAACATTTTTTGGAATACAATTCTCTCTAAAGAAGGATACTGATAGATGGAGAGAAAGACGCAGAGAAACGGATTAGAATTCGTATCACCTTCGTTCATTAGATGAGTCATTTTTAACTTTTCTATCCTGGGGTTTTAAATCTGCTCCTAAATCTGATTGAAAGTTGATGGTTCCATATGCTGCCACGGAGGAGGTCTGCAGGGGAAAACACTGGATGAGTCATCCTGATGTTGAAGTCTTTTTTTTTTCCCCTTCAATTTAAAGTGAATCTTTTACCATTGACACAAAGAAAGTATATGAGACGGTGAATAAAACAAACAGACACCGTTTCCATATTAATAAAACTGAGGGTTTAAGCAGAGTATATGAAACCTGTCTCCCTCGTGCACTCTCAAATAAAAAAATATAAAAGGTTGTGGTATTAGAAGTTCAATCAGCCCAAGGATTGCTGCGGAATCCTCAGACTGCCATCTGAAAATGTCGTTGCTGCTACTTCAGCACGGTGCGAGAAATACAGAGTCTCCTTCTGACTGAGCAATCATTACTTTTGAAGAGAGTGGGAACGGAGGTCATTAAAAGTGATACTACTGAAACCAAACATGATAAACTTGGCCTTTAAACAGCTCTGGAGCCGGAGAACAGAGAAAGGAACGAAAGAGAGAGAGGGACGGAGAAGACAGGAGGGACAGACACGATGTTCAAAACAATCATTCTTCTTCTCTCTAGGTGTTCATTAAAAAGCAGCTTTGGTTTTTTTTGTTTTTTTTTTGAAGACACGGTTGAGCATTTGTACGTCTAGAACAGCAGTTGTCACCCCAATCATGTCGAGATGTTCAGAGAGGTTTGAAAAACATTCAGCTTTTGTGCGCAAAAGAGCCGTAGCTCTACACGAGCAATCCTTTCTCTTACAATTGTCTCCATTTCAAGCTGAATACAAAGTGCTGTGATCTAAAAGAACCCTATTATTCCCAGAATCTGAGTCTTTTCACAGGTTGGGAATAAAACGCTGTGATTAGAAGCAGCACACTGCCACTGAGTCTTTGATAAATGGCTGATTTCAGTAGGGGTCAGTGTTGCTCCGTGAAAATAAAGGAGAGTGGCTGAGTGTGTTTTTTGATGGACAGTGTGTTAATTGAACTGAGTGTTTTGGTATGCGTATGTGGGATGCAACACAATGTGTTGCTTGGAGTGGAAATGTTGAGATGTCCTTTATGCATAAAAACTGTTTTTAAAACAACACAAAAGTATCTTTATCAAATCTGCCGAGGGCCAGTGAAAGAGTACGACAGATCGGGTTCTACCTGTAGATCGCAAAGGCACTCCTGGTAGATCATGAGCAATTAAAATAAATATATATACAGTATATATACATATTTTTTATAGAAAATATCTAGAACTATATGAGCAACAATAGAATTATTGGATCATATCGTTCCATATAGCTGCAGCTATTTACAGTAATCGACATATAATGTACTTATAAAGTTTGCCAACCAGTGTGGACACCCCTGGTGTATGGTCATGTGTTCATCTACAGTGACGCTGCCCTCTGCTGTTATTTTCTCCTTTTCTCTGGCTTTAGCAAAAAAGAACATCAAACTTCCAGAGAAATACATCGATGGCTGGAAACGTGTCCTGATAATTGGCATTCATTCATCTCCACCGACTCCAGCTGCGAGAAGAAAGAGGTGGGGGAGGGACAGGATCATCTGACAGGAGGAGACGTGCTATTGTAAGTTATGCATTTCTAAGATATTGTACATGATATGATGATGACACCCCTGCTTCTTTAGTGGACCAGATTACATATTTGTGGTCCCAGATATACCAGAATACCGGTCTTTAATTGGCTGCTGTGCATACTCATAGCCCAACAGGTGGGAGGTCGTACAAGTTGTGAGAGCCAGAGTCTGAAAAAATGTTCCAGTGATGCCATAGAAGTCACTGTTGTGTGTGCCCTGATGACATTGTCAATTCAGTTTTTGTTGAGATAAAACCTAAACCAAAACTTTTTTGGTTTAGGTTTTAAAATATGTTCCAGACACACAAACACACACTGGATGGACACCATAGAAATGTGAGAGAAAGTAGACAAAAGGGTGAGGGTGGAGGAGGACGATAGCTGTGGTTTGTGTTTTCCACATTGCTCCCTTGGTAAAGTGAACCACCCAGAGGGAAAAGGGACACACACACACACACACCAAAAAAATATGCCTCAACTTGCCTCTTTCTCACACACAGGGGAATAGAGTAGATCAACTGAAAACTTCCAAGGGGCAATAACCGGCAAATGTCACACACTTCCCGTGAGCTTTTCGCGAAGCAGGGACCTTGTGATGTGAGTTTGTGTTTGCGACTGTACACGTGGCAACATGTAGGAAACAAAAGTTTGAAAGAACAGCAGTCGTGATCAGAGTCTTGTGTCTCGACTTGCTCTCTTTCCTTCTTACAAAAAATGTATTAGATGACTTGATGTGGAAGCCAAGAAGAGAAAAGAACATCCAGTTACTACATTTCTTCTCCTTGGCTAAGCCCACTGTCGCTGTCTGGGCACAGGACTGCAGTGTGTGAGCCAGCAGACGTTAGTCTGTGCCTGGAATGTAAGAAGAAAGACGAGGGGTTGGACAAGGAGCGAGAGAGATGGATGAGATGAACTGCAGCTGAGCCTGAGTTATTCCATTACCGCTCAGTGACACGTGTCCATGCAAACACACACAGGCTGTGTGTAAGTTAGCCAACAGATTTTTATTTATTTATGTATTTTTATCTCTGAACATAAATTAAAATAAGAAAACACCCAAAAACGTTGGGGACAAATTTAAATTTGTGAGGAGAGTGACTGAGCTGCTCTAATTGCCTCATCGTGAAGCTCTGCGATTCACAGGAATTATGAGAATCTCAGGATTCCCTCTGATGATTCCGTCTGTTTTCCAGTACTTCAGCAGTGTAATATTTAATAACCCCTGAGCAAAACCTGAGAGGAATTGCTCCATAAATAATTGAGGAGGAATTTATAAATAATTTTTCCTCTTAATCTACTCCAGTGCTCTGCCGCGAGGTACCCAAAGTGAAGCTGATCTCTCTGGACAGTTGGAGGTTCAGGCTCCTTGCCTGATGGGGGCGCTCTTGTCACGTGAAAAAAATGGCACCACCTGAGGACACGCAAATGGATGAAGGGTGTGGAAATAAATAAATATATAAAAGGGTTATTCACAAAAATAGTTCATGCCTCTTTGGAGCAGACCCTAAACTTCTATTAAAACAATTATTTTTTCCTCTTTTTTTTAAACAATACCTTTATTATCCTTGATTACATTTTGAGGAAATTAGTTCACCCCCCACCCATGGCAGACGCACAGCTCCATACAACCTGCTCCTGGTTCAATACGAAATGTCAGGCAGTACATTGAAGCCAAGCTGCTTCGGCGTTGGCCGTGGATTGAAGTGTCTTTTATGTGTGCTAATCCAAAAATCACAATTTCTTGGAAATGTTAGGAACATTCTGCTTCTCCTTCCGTCCCTCGCTGTCTTTACTGCTTGATCTCTGTCTGCTTCATTTCTTTCTTATTTCCTCCGTGTCTTCCTTTCTCTGCCTCAGCTGGTGAGAGCCTCATGTACAACTAACAACTGTTTGCTAATGAGAAGCGGGGTGTGTGGGGGAGAGGCAGGCGGGCGGACGGGTGGGTGAGGGGGGCTCATTATTCATTACATCATTAACATTTAATTGCTCTGTGCTAATCCTAATAACCATCTCGCACAGTTTAATCGGTTGTCACTTTCGGGTGCGACCACAGTGTCAGTGTTGTTTGACATCACGTCTCCCATGTGGTCAGCGCCAGACGCCCTCACGATGAAGGTTATTGAGTATTAATTGTTGCTTTGGAGGTCATTAACTCAGAAATGATGGTGAGTAGTTGTGTGACTGTCAGACTGTTGGCCTTTCAGACGCATCGGCTTTGGTTTTGGGTTGCGATTTCGTCACCTTCTAATTTGTCCCAATTTATATCTCAAGGACCTGAACACCAGGACAAGGTCAAACATACTTTTGGAATCTGATGCACTTTATTTCTCCTTCCCTCAGAATTCAGACTTGGTGTTATTTTTAGTTTCCATTTCCCGTAGACTTCCGAAAATGGCAAGACCTTAAAAAAAATTAATCAGAAAACTATATGTAACCGGGCAAAGAAAACTGTGGAATTTGACAATATTTTTTAAATAACACATTTGAAATATGTTCCCACCTTGTCCATTTCATAATAAATATACATTAATTTGTCCTTATTAACCAGTTTGCGGTCTGACCCAGGTCACACACAGTAGAGGATGTGTGAGCGGCTGACACCCTGCGTGTCCAGAAAGGTGAAGAGTTCCTCCCTTCGTCACTTGTTATTGATAACAAACAAGAATCTTGCTCGGACATGAACATGTCGGAAGGAAGGAAGGGGAATAAAAACAGCAAGGAGAGAGAGCGAGAGGGAGTGATAGGAGAGGTGGGTGAGGGAGTGAGCAGCCACCCAACACAGTCATCAACCCTCTTCCATCCATCATTTGTCTTAGTCCGACGGCTGACACTGCTTCATCAGCATCACCTCCTTCTGTATTCAGCTCTGTGGGTGTGTGTGTGCACGGGCACATGGGGAACATGCAAAGGAAGCTTTATGAATAATTGTGAAACTGCGTGTAAGATTGATTGTACAAATATAGACAAGGTGCGTGTGTTTTTATATCCTTCAATTTCAGCCGGGTGCAAATTAGATGATTAGCGCAGGACTGCAGCCCGTCGTCCATATTCCTGTCAGCGGACGGTAATTGTGTTTCACACAGAACACAACAGTGGTTCTTAAAACACCAACGGCTCATAAATCTTAAGCAGATACATAAGATGGTGAAGTCCAGTATGCCTAATTTGACATCACAGCAATCTGGTTATTGCATGATCAAGACAAAGGCTCTTTGCCATCAAAGTTGATTCTGTAAGAGTGGCTACAAGTTAAATCCTACTCTTTTTTCTGTTCTTCTCTGTATCACGTCCTTATCAGGCCGTGTAAATAGATTTGTAGAATGAGAGAAAATCTTAAGTCTACTTTTTTTCATGAAAAAAGAAAATGATCTTTTTAAACACGTTAGAATGATCTCATAATCAGATCATATTCAGATAACCTTTTTTAATAAGATTTTCCAGCTAATTTTGAGCTAAAACCACAAGTAACAGTGTAGAAAATTGACAGTATCTTGGTTTTCTGTCTCAAGACAATTTACCCAAAAATCCTAACACAATTCTCAGTCTGATGTTGACACATTTTAGCACTTCAGATGTTAGACTTTTGTACTTGTTTTAAGAATTCTTGTCAAGAAAAATAGGGTTACCTGGATGGCAGAGGTTTTGCTCAATAAAAGATATGTTGATCATATTTAAAAGTTTTTGCTTGTTTCTGGCAGGTCTGTTTTGGGGTCACACAGGGCATGGAACTATGTGACACATTGAGAGTTGATACATTACATGTTTAGTTTGCTGTTAAGGTGATAGAAAAATCTGCTTCTTGTTTAAAGCACCATATATTTTTTTTTTCATTTGTACTAAAGACAAAAGTGAAGTAACATAGATGCAGTGACAAGTCTGACATTATTCCAGAGCATGTATGCTGACCACACACATGCACAGTTGGAATCGGTGTGACAGTCCAAAAAGTATTGGATTTGCCACAAGTGCACGCTGGGCGCAAAAAGTACCCAGCTGCTGCACAAATACATGAGAGGCTGGAATGTTATCTGATAACAAACAGTGTCTAGACTTTGTTTTGAATGCAACCCCAGTCACTGACTGGACTTCACACGACAAGGTTATTAATAACATATGAATTATACATTTTAGAACATTCACGTTCTATGTTTTTGATGTCATATTTAAGTAAGGATTGGCAAATTATGATTATTATACAAACAGTAAAAAGGGGACAGAGAGTTGATTCAGCTCCCAAAAGAGTGCTTTTTGATGAAGTCCACAGTGGCAGAAAAGTATGTTAAGGTTGTGCACGGCATGTACTGTATGTGCAGTCAGTAACTGATAAGTTCAGGACGGGTAGTTTTAAGACTAATTCTTCTCTGGCCTAGTGGTCGGGGCTATAACCCAGTGGTTAGTACAATTGTCTTGAATCCACGAGGTTGCGGGTTAAATTCTAAATAACGTAGGAGCCTTGCTGTCTGTCAGTAGATGGGAAAACGTGTGAAGTGTGAAGCACTTTGATTAGTCAGGAGTGGGAAAAGAGCTGCAGAACAGAAAGACAAAAAAAAAAAAAAAAACCCAGAGAGAAGCCATGGACACAGTGAAGGAGAGGACGTGAAGACAGTTGGTGTAACAACCGAACCTCCTCTGTGTAAGCAGATGATCGAACAGAAAGACCCTCTGAGGAACGCAGCTTGAAAAAAAAAAGAAATTCCTATAAACCATTGAAGAATATATTCCTGTATATATTTTAGTTTCTTATTTACAGGGCTCTTGCTTTTGGTTCCCGTCTGCTTGTTTCTGCAGGGTATGTTATTGAAGGTGACAGTTGTTGTGGCAGAGGTGCAGCTGAGAGATTAAAGTTGGATGTTGGACCTGTCCTGCTGTGTCAGAGCTAATTAGAGGATCTGTGTAAGAGAAAGCGTAACCTGGGCATTAACCCACAGCACAGAGAACACCACCCTTCCAGAAGATGATGACAAACCTGTTTTAATGACCTTGGAAAGTTGCAATTCTTTTTTTTTTTTTTGACGTTTTCAGACACCATGTGCATGTTAGAAACACGGTCGTGTAGAGACTTTCATGCCCCTATATTTTTTCCTTTTCCTCCACTAGGGAAAAACTACACAACAACACGTTAAAAAGATGCAGTTGGAGGAAAAAAAAAAAATCAATGTTTCTTTAGTGCTCTTCAGTGTCATTCGGGTGTAGTGTCGTGGCCCATTTGGTTTTGTTGCAGCTGTAGCTTGTTTTCCGAGTCGGCTTTTGTGTTCCTTCTCAGGTGTTCAGCACAAGCTGAGGCCTCTCTTCATTTCACAAACAAATAGAAATGGTAAAAACACTGAGTTCAGCAGTTCTTATGTTAAAAAAATATCACTGTTTTTCTGACACTCTCTGGCAGAGACACAACCTCCAGGCTCTTTTCTCCACTGGTTTCTCTGACAGCTCAAGAGACAGGCGTCCTATGACTAACATCCATATTTTGGTTGGAGGTTATATTTACAAGGTCAAAAGGTTTTTTTTATAAACAGAAAGGCAGATGATAAAAATAATAATAAAGTGGTCGACGGGAAATGGTGTTAATGTTTAGCACTGGGCCTGATAGCCCTGTCATTAAAGAGTCTGAATGTAATGAGGTTTCGGCTTTAAAAAGTAACTGGGTTCCGAAAGAAGAGAGGGTCAGCAGATGTGACCTGGTGGTGGAAGTTTGCAGCGTACAAAGTGGCTGGGCTTCTGAATTTTAACATGTAGCAAAACAACTGATGGTTGTTAAGGACAAACTCAGCAGCCCACTGCTCCTGTTTCCTAATTCTATTTTCTTTCTACTACATTCCACTCCTGTTACTAAACAAAAAACTAAGACTAAAAGTTCGGCATCTAAAAAGTTTAGAAAGTAATTGTCCAAATACAGCAGTATACATTATTAAAAGTTAAGAACTGTAACAAGAGTGTTTGCACAATATAATATCATGATATAATATACTACATTTTGGAGCACATTAGGCCCATGTGACCAATCCGGCCCGTGACTAAATTCCAAAATAAATATTGCAAAATGATATTATACAAAAATATGATAAAATGTTTATTCTATTTTATTTGATTGTGTAGCCACGAAGGTGTCTGTCCAGAAAAATTCTGACCCTCCAACAAATATAGTTGGTGACCCGTGTCTTAGGGTAAATGTAAATACTGTTGTAAGAGGTTTTTCTTACACATTTGAGGAAGATCACATAGGGCCTACCTCTCCATCAGGCTACATCAGGGTCCCCCAAAGTGTGGCGCCAGTGCACAAGCAGCCACTTGGGGGTCCACACAAAAAAAATACATGTGGGGAGTTGGTGGTGTGTCATCCCAGTTGGGATATAGAAGAGGGTGTACGACCAAAGAAGCTCAAGAAACGCTCAACTACGTAGTCATTTGGCATCGTTTTTGCATCAGGACGCCCTTCCTGATGCAACCACTAGGTGGAATTGAACCTTGAAACTGCATGTTGGGCAGGAATCTTACAACTGCATCACTATTTCTCCTCTTTTAAGCTATCTGAAGGAATTTTTTTTTTTGTGAAAGGGAAACTATTCAGATGTAAATGGTCAACAATAATGTTACTTTTCTTCTGAATAATTATTATAATTATTACCTTCCAATTTGTGTTTCATTTCTCACTGCTCACAGAAGCAAAGGTCCCCATTGCGGGATAAATAAAGATGTTTTAAAATCTAACTCTTCCCGATCTTTAATGTTTAATTAATGTTTAATGTTTGAAATCACCGTCCATCCAGGCAAACTCAGTGTTAAAAAAAAAAACAAAACACCCTGACCTTTTCCTGCAAACTCAACTTTTGACACCCGCAGCCCTGAACCTCCCGCCCTCTACTCAGCAGGGTCTCTCCATCCTTTTACACCATTGTTCAGTGGCACCACGTTGTGCTACAGGAGCAAAATCTAATTGTGCGGAAAGTGTTGTAGACCAAGGGAACTCACCGCAGCGTCAAGCGCTTGTTTATATTCAGCCGAAAGTCAAAAAGAGGCTAATTCCCTCATTCTCAAGACAATGAGACTCGCTGTAAAGTGTTATGGATTTTAACTTTTATTTATTCTCCTTTTGCCCCGAAATGATTTTCAGTTGTTTTTAATGAGGCCTTTTGCTCAGAAGAGTGAGACGTTTTCCTCTGTGAGCCCTTTGGACGATATTAAGTGTGAATGCCCTTTAGTCAGACATCTCTCCACTTCATTATGCGCTGCCAGATCCGACCTCTCTTCTCCAACCTTTACAGATGGTCAGCAAAGCCACACAGCCAGAACCTCCTCTTATACATCCTCGCTCCATCTCATTCCTCCTCCCCGTGTTGTTGGAAAGGGCAAATGAGTGATGCTCATCGTATTGACACAAAAACTTCTGCCTCCCTTCTCCTCCCTGCCTGTTTCCTCCCTCTTTCCTAATGAACCACGTTTGCTCTATTGACCTACTTGTGGACTTAAAGGAAATCCAATCGCGAATGCCTCAGGTCGCTTTTTTGATTCAAATCACGCAGCCTTTCCACAATTATCATCATCATCGCTCCCTCCACTTCTGCCTCTCTCTGTTCTTCTTCTGCCTCTACCCGGAACCGCACAGCTGTTTATTTTTTGTTTATTTTTTTAATTCTCCTCTCTTTGCTCACCAAGTTTTCAGTCCCTTTCACAAACTTGTTCTTTGTTTTTCTCAATCAGATGCAGAGAGCAGCCATGCAGATAATTATCTGTGGGAGGCACTGGGACAGCAACAAGGCTGGCGGACAGTCTGATCTTGTCGGCGGCAGAAGGACAGAGAATCATTGGCGGCAAAGACGAAAGATGAAAAAACAAAGGAAAGTTCACAGGTAACCTCACAAGCACCACAATTAAGTCTCCATATCTAGCATCCTACCACCATTTCAGGCACAGTGTGTAACATCTGAGGCCAAAATACAGCCCCAAATCAGTACGGAGCCCAACTCTTTTGCTACTGTGGAACTTTGATCCTTGTTTGTCTGTTTTCTTTAAGCAAATGGTCTCTAATATTTTTTGCATGCATTTTTCTTTAAGCAAATGGTCTCTAATATAAGGGTGTACTAATTTTCCCCTTTCTGTTTGCTAACTATTAGCACTGTTCATAAGTTGTTGTTGACCGCTTTTAGCTATCCAAAAACTTCAAACATCACTTTTTTGCATGGCAACATATTTCCGTTCCGTTCTTGTGTCTTATATTTTTCATCTAAGTTGTAGCTTTCGTAATTATTATAACAGAATGTTGTTGTGATTTTGTGCTATATTGGTGAATATAGCTCGTAGTAAATTAGTTGTCATTTTGTGTTCAGACAACTGACAAATTATTCTAAAGGCTTTAACCTCACAGACAACCGGTGCATGAACAACAATCACAAGAAAAGAATAAAAATAAAAAACATGGATTTAGGAAAAGCTGAATTTTGCAATACTCTAAGGTCCGCCAAATCCTGAGATGTTTGTCTTTTAAAATACAAGTGTTTGACGTTCAAGCTGCTTTAGGACCTACAGTGTGTGCACCATTACACATTTCTCACCAGCAAGTGACTCGCGAATGCATCCGTCAACCACCATTATCCAGTTTCCTCTAAACATACACCAGCACAGACCCTCACTGTGCCTTAAATGACAGCAGGGTGCTGAGCTAACTGTTAGCATCGCCTATTACTGATGTGTTTGTGTGGCTTCATGCATACTGTGCAGTAATATAACACAGTGACCTGGGCTCCTGAGGAGGTCTGCTAACAAAACCGCCACCATCCCAGCATGCAATTCAGTTGTTTACTACACTGGCGGGGGGGAAAAATGGAAAGGGAACAAAACATCCTCTCTAATAACAGCAGCAACAGCAGGTTTCTCTCACAAATTCAGGGATTGCCCCGGCTTATGATTTTTCACTGTCTTGCAGGTGGCTAAATCCTGCTCCACTCTGTCTGGAAAACTTCACCTGTCAGTTCTGTTTAGGTGAATGGGTTATTCTTTTCAGCGCATCACATGAAACTCATATCAGAGCTAAGACTTGCAGATTATATCTGTAATACTTTTGAAAATGTGCCCTGACTACCTGGCATTAAACTCCGTCACTCAGTGATTCCCTTTGACTTAATGTTTCTGGCTATATACAGTACAGTTTAATAGGAACTTTATGTCTGTATTACTGATCCAACGGAGCCAATTTAAAAACACAAATTAACTATCAGTGTCGTGGGTGTACGTGCCATCTCAGATATTAATTCCAAAAATATTCAAGTGATAATAGTTTTGTATATATGTATGTATCTATACATCTATCTATACATACGTATGCATTGGCTATTAGATGCATTGTGGTTTATTTAGTTTAATTATTTGTACAATAAATGAAGCCCAAACATGTGGTTCCGTGTTAAGCTAACATCTCCAAAAGAAAGATACAATCTACAATCCAGACTGTCAGTGTCTGAACGGTAATGAAGGGACAAACTATCAGTTTGTTTCCTAAGGTTTAAAACAAAAACAAAACTTATTTTCACCTCATCTGACCCTCTCAATTTCCTCCAACTAGGGCTCTGGGTTTTGCCCACAAGCTGGTCTCTGATAGAGGAAAAAAAAGTGAACATCATCAATTGCCAGAGTCAGACTCAGAGCTTGATGTCTCACCCTTTTGACAAGAATCCTATCCTTAGCAAATTAGTGGCAGGAGACAGCAAAATAAATTACATTTAGGGCAAAATAACCCACAATGTCTCCGCTGTCTGGTGCTCGTAAAAACAGAAGGAATGAGAAACTCCTTTTTGCCCCCTTTGAACTAAATATATTTGTGACCAAACCAAACTGTCTATTCCAAAGAATTGTGTTTCTGTTGTTGTTTCTGTAGCTGACCTGCCTCTGTTTCATTTACTGTATATCTAACCTTTATTTTTCTGCATTATTTTTGATGTTATGGTGCGTTTAAAAGGATAAAACATTTTCAACATTCAGTATAAACATCCCGTTCCGCAAAATTAACATTTTGAATGTAGTCATTTTCTTCTAAGGACAGACTTCAGAGAAACGATGGTGGCTAGAACAAAGTCTTCCTCAAATTGTGAGGGCCTCAAATAGGCTCTCTGTCTCAGGTTGTTCGTCATATACATTATTACAGACCTTAGCGCCTACTGTGCAGTGACATCCACTGAGCATTGATATGCTGAAACCATTTCTGGGTGATTTGTGCCTGAGAACACATCATCCTGCAGGTCATTTCTCATCTAGCCACCGTACGACCATTAATCTTCATTTTCAAGAAAAGAGAGTTGATTTTTCTCGTGCATTGGTCAGCTTCTCAAAGAGAAGATAGAAGTAGCCTTCTTCATGCATCTACAACATCCATCGGTACAAAGTGTCCAGTTTACTGTTTTTTTTTTTCTTTTTCTTTTTTGCACCTCTTTTCTTCTCTGACCCAGTGCCTGGTTCCTACGTTTCTAGGTCGCTGTGACCATTTTATGCTTTTCGCTGATCATTATTGGCTTTGAGCAGTGTGACCCCTGAATCAGTCTTGTGCATAGAGGTATTTGGTAAATGGTCGCCCTGAATCAGTCTTGTGCATAGAGGTAGGATAGGGGTTGAAATGGATGCTTGGAATCCTTAAAAATGGTCAAATTTTAAATGTTGTTTGAAAAGTGCTTGGGTTTTGAGTAAACTGCTTGTAAATGCTGGGAATTTTTAGTTTCCGCCTTTGGAGTGTAATCAAGGCACCGTTAATGATGCGATAGGGAACGCTTTTTTCATTCACTGTTATAAAAATAAGCAGATTCCAAAATTACACGCCTTAACCTCACAATTGAAACCCCACAGCATGATACTCTTTTACCTCCAATGGCAATAAAAAATTCTTAGGCAGTCACCGTTTTATCACCGTGCTCCTGATAATGAAGAACAGTTAAATTAGGGGTTAACCAGACTTCAGACAACCTGTAGTTTTTCAGCAGCTTACTCTAAGTTGTTGGCTTCCAGAAATTCCTGTTGCCCTCTAGTTTTGAATGCACATAAAAAAAGTTACAGTTACAGGTTTTGGATGTTGAATAGAAACGCCTATGTACGTCAGTGGTAGTGTTTGGAACCAGTGATCAGAAGGAACGTCACCCGGAACAGAATTTCGAGATGGCTTTAAAAAAATAGGAATTTGTGAAGACGGCTTTCCGATAAGGACTTGTTTATTTCTTTTACACTTATAGACGCTGAGGCAGTGTTGGGGTTTCATAAACCATCGAACCGTGTTGTGTAATTTTGTCAGGACTATTAATCAAATATACATGTATATGTATATCTTTTAATCATGGTGGAAAGGGTTCTCAGACAAGTGTTTGGTCTCATGTGTGTTCTTCTGACCAGTTCCTTTTCTCCTTTTCTGCAGTGGACGAGGTCCACAGAAAACGAGACACAGATTCAGTGAGAGATTGATGGTTGATGTGCTTTGCTGTCTCATCCGTAGTTGTCTGTCTGTCTGTCTGTCTATCCAAACCCTGCTGCTTCCCATTATTTTAATTGCCTCCCATGTGATGCGGTTTCACAGAACTCGACCGAGGAGAAGATGAATTAAAATGGAAATGCAATCCATTTGTCAGGGCCGGTCATTTTTTTTTTTCAGTCAAATTTAGGGATTGAACAACGCAGAAGAGCCTTATTATTGTGATTGTAAGGATCTCAATTTGGTACTTGATAAGATGATCTCAAAATGCTCCAAATGCAGGGATAAGTTGATAGTTGATCGCGAAAAGTTTATTCAGTACTTAATTATGAATACAGGAGGTCCTTGGTTTACGACGTCCTTGACCTATGGTGTTTTGTGGCTCCGCCGCCATCTCCCATAAATTCATTAGGAAAGTCTTAGTTCATCATTCTAAAGTGCAGTGTTTAAACCTGAGTAGTTCACACATAAATTAGTTAAGTAGAATAGACAAATACTTCATCACACGGTGCTATATGTTGTACTCCATACATTGAATCTGCTACATTTGCTTTTTTTTTAAAAAAACCTTTTTTCCAATCTTTATTTCTCCCAAGTGTACGTCAGATTCTTCTGATGTTTTTCTGTCTTGGAATATATTGTTACCACTGTATTAGTGTAGGTGAGTGACATTGGTACTGATGTACAATATGTGGGTTCTGACTTTCAGTGAAAAAAATTACGTCGTATCGTAAGGAACAGAACTCCGGGCTGTGCTATAATAATAAAATCCAAATCTATCTGCTCCTGACCCGGCCCTTCTGTTCAATTTTAGGACGATTGTGGCACGCGAGTCAAAAATATTCAGATATGACAACATTAGACAAAGTTATAGCGGAAGGTGTGCAAATTACAGTATGATTTTGATCATAAAGAACATGAAGGGACATTAGTCATCAGGACATCAAAACTCAACACAAAAATAGCTAAATAATTGCCTAAAGATTCTGAATATATTACAGCAGTCATCAAGCGAGGTTAGGGTACACACTGGGCAGTTCACCATCATTGGGTTCATTCAGTGTCAGAAAAAAATCTATTCATACATGTGGGGAACATGCAAATTTCAGACCGAAAGACATGCATCTCCACCAAGTGACAGGACATTTAAAAAACAAATATAATATAAAAAAGACCAGGCGTAGCATTTGTTTGAGTGTGTAAAGCCAATGACAGTGGTCTGCCTGTCGGAGCTGAAGTGAGTCCACTGACAGTTCTGTCTGCCTGCCACAGTGTTGCTTTTTTATTCTGATAAAGTGTATTGTTAACAAGGCACACTCACTCCAAGTCATGTGGAAGCACATCGCTCAGGAGACGTCACAGAACCATTAAGGAACTTTGTGTCCAACCAGAGCGTAAAATGTAAATCACATGCTTAACTAAACATGCTTCTGAGAATCAGGCTTCTGGAGACGGAGGGGAGAGAGTGCTCAGTACATTATATTCACAAATCATTTAGGTGTTAGTCTATATGCAGGTTGTCGAGAGTGTGACACTCTGCCTGTCATCACGCTGTGGTCGTGACAGTTCATTTGACAGTCGACTCTCATAGAGGACACATGACTAACATCTGCTCTTAAAGCCTCTCTATCTTGTCACTGGGGAGAGCAACCATCTCAACTGGTGACAGAGGTGGAATCACACCTTTCACACACACACACACACACACACACACACACACACTTTTCTGTGGTAAGCACTTAGCATAGATATAATGCATTCTCTAGTCCCTGTGGAAATACAATAAAATGTCAATTGACTGATTTAGAGTTACGTGTATATATTATATATATTTATAATAAATATATATTTATATTATATTTATATACAGTATATATAATATATATGTATATCCATATATATATATATATATATATATTTAAATAGTATTTATGTAGATATAAACCCCTTTACGAACCCTTTTGGAGGCATCGTAGGGCGTGAAATATGGCAAAGAAAATTAACAAAACTTTCACAAATCGCGTTTACCAGTATATACAGGTTATTTCTTGGAATACGTATATAATAAGTATGTGTTACAAAATGTCTTCTAATTTTTATTTATTTATTTTATTTATTTTTACTGTTTTTTTTTCTTCTACATTTAAAATATTTAAAACCCGCAATGCACTGAAGGCGCGACGGTCGATACAGCGAGGGGTGATTGTCTATATATGTATATGTACTGTATGTATATATGCATGTGTATACATACATATACAGGACAGTATGTTATTATACATATATATTTATATATAAACTTATATGCTAACCTTTGCATTTTGTAATCACTTCAAAACGACAAGGCACGTTCCCTAGACCCTAATCTCGATACAAAATCCAAACTTATTCTCCTGCTCAATGTGAGGGATAATTTTATTCCACAGACGAGTCACTGGGTCAATATGCCGTTTCTATGCTGATGGGAAAAAGGAAAGACTGAGGGAGACGATGAGAGAATGGGGAGATTCTCAAATTAAGGGTATTTATAGCAGAAAGAGGAGAATCTCTTTCTCCTTTCCCTTCTCACACACTCGGACGCACAAAGGCACACACTCACTCAGACTATCCTAGTCCTGCTGTTTAATAATGCAGCTGCTTGGAAACCTGAGGGACTCGCTTGTGTCCATGTGCAAAGGTGAGGCATACTTTAAATCCAGTGGCAGTGCTAAACTTTGTAAGTTTTAGTGAGTGTGGTTATTTGGTATTTGGAAAGAGTATTTTGAACCAGTCCATGGTACTCATTTACCTGACACACCATGTGTCAGGTAAATGAAGACCAAAAGACATCCAAATAAAGTTGTGTTGATGCACACAACAACCCAACACATGGCTCACTCTCATTGGTTGGCGTAAAGTCATCGTCAAGTAACCCAAGAAAGACAGATGCCTTCTTACTTAGCTTCTGAGGAAGTAAGTGACCTAGATGAGTGAAGGATTTTTGGAAATCTCTGGAGGTGTGTCCTGTCACATAGAATATCATTTCAACCTCCGTACTGAAAAAGGAAATCGTGTGTTTGTGTGTGTGTGTGTTGGACAGAATCTGTTCCATGTAACGAAATGTGATTCCATTTATTTTTCAGTTTTGCATTGTTAATGTGTCTGTGTGTGAGATTGAGTGTGTGTGTGTGTGTGTGTGTTCACAAGTGTGTTATGTTGTTTGCCCTGTTAATGGGCCTCTTCTCGATGTGTTTATATTAAGAAAAGTGTTATGAAGTGTTCCTCCACCAAAACTTGGGAGGCCTCTTGTGTCCAATTAGGCAGCTTGTTGGAGCCACTGGCGTCACATGCCTTCCTCCCCTGGCATCCCTCTCCTCCTTCATCCCTTTACCCCCCCCCATCCTCCCCCCACATCTGTCCACTCGGCAGTCTGGAAATGAGGCAGGAAAATAAATGAGTGCAGATTCGTTTTTTTTTTTTGTTTTGTTGTTGTCACAGAACGCGGTGAAGTTTTTGATTACATCTATGTTGGAATTGGAAAAGTTGTCTGAGTTTTAGGTGAATGTAGGCAGACTGTCACTATTTGTAGAAAAAGGGAAGAAGGAGGACACGGTCAAGTGAAGGAGGAAAGGAGGACAGAGAGGGTGAGTCAGACTCTCAGGTTACCTCCTTAACCAG